ATAAGTGGAGAAGTGGCTTCTGATGAGGGTGAAAAGGAATGCAGGGCCCCAATCACGCAAGGATTTTCTTCTGCTTGCATTTTTAGAACTGTATATAAATTGGCATGTATAGGTTTGTGATTATTGTATCATCTTTATAAATTGTGCCTTTTACTTTTTTATAGTGTCCTTTGATTCTGCTTGGTCCTTTAAACTTTAGTTCTACCTAGTCTGAAATTTTTGTTGCATATGATGGGGATCTCTTTACTTACCTCTTTATTTGTAATACAGTCATACATTGGTCAATGATAGACCTCATATGATGATGGTCCCATAAGATTATAATACTGTATTTTTACCATATTTTCTATGTATAGTTATGTTTAGATACACAAATACTTACCATTGTGTCACAGTGGCCTACAGGATTCAATACAATAACATGCTTGTAGCTGCAATAGGCTGTACAGCCAGGGGTGTAGCACACTATACCATCTAGGTTTGTGTAAGTATATTCTGTGATGTTCACACGATGACAAAATCACCTAATGGCATGTTTCTCAGAATGTGTCTCTCTCATTCAGTGACATATGACTGTATATCTTTCTCATTTTGTTTTTACTGTGGTTTTTATAAATCATACTTTGCCTGGGTTTGTTTTTTAAATAAATCTGACAATTCCTTTATTTTTAAAGGCAGTTTATTTGATTTGCGTTTTCTCTAAGAATGGATATATTTTATTTGATGATTTGTTCTGTTTTATGATTTGTTTTCCGTTGCTTCTCCCTCAGTTTTTCTTTGCTTTATTTTTGTAATTGGATCATTTACTGTTTGATTCATTTCTTTTTCATTTGCTAATTTGGAAAAGCATCTATACTTTTCCATTCCATTAATTATTAACTCACTTTTTTAATATACTTATAATCTTCCATCTATTTTTCTGCCATTATTCAAAAATACATTAGCAATTATTTAGTCTAAGATGTTCTATTACCCCCCAAGTTATTCTATTTTCCCCTGCTCCCACTCTTATTGAGACCTTTAGAATATCTTCATTTCTAAATTAAGAAACTTAATTTCTGTCTACCTCATTCTATAGGTAGATGTCTACCTCACTCTCAACTGCATGTGGAAAAATTTTACCTTCCTCCTTCCATCTCCGCTGGATCAATTGTTAGATTTTGCTAAACTAATTTAGTATTTTTTAGGTGTAGATCATTATTGGAATTTCCATTGAGATTATCAGAAACTACTCTGTTTTAGATGCTTGTTTTACATTTAAATAACATTAACAATAATGTCATTATTGAATATAATATACAATGACATTACATACATTTAAACAACACTTTCTCAGAAAATCTAAGAGACAAATCCATTCAGACTTACCTATCTTCTCCACTGTTTCCTTCCTTCTCATCGATGCCCACTTTGAGGTCTCTGTTTTGCATCATTTTTTAGTTTGAGTGAAGTCTTTTCTGGTATTTTTTTTTAGTTGGGGTATGTGATCTGTTCTCTGAATTTTTGCATATCTAAAATATCTTTCAAGCTCTCTGGTGAATAATTTTTTGGCTGGGTATAGAATTTTGGACTGCAATACTTTTCTCTCATTAGTCTCCCATAGTCTGTTTGAAACTCACTTTATGTTGAGTTCTTTTAAGCGCCACTGGTGATAGGAAAGATGTGGACTCTCAGAGTCAAGATTTATTTTATTGCCTTCTCCCACTACCAATGTTATACATGAAAGTCTGATGCTAACATGAATCTTTTCTCTTCTAAGTAACTTACTATTGTGTTGAAAGGTTTTTATTTGTTGTTCCTAATAGCTTAAAAGTTACCAAAATATGGCTAGGTGTGTCTTTTTCACCATCCTGCTGGAACTCATCAAGTCATTTGAATTTGCAAGTTCAAAATTTCTTCAGTTTAGATAATTATTTTCTTATTACATGTGTAATCAATTTCTTAACCTCCACGTGTTCTTTTTTCTCTTACTGGAAACTCTTATTATTTTCATGTTATATCTCCTGACTCTATCATCCAACTCTCTTATCTTTCCCATCGCTCCTCTCAAAGATGTCCAGGTCCTAATCCCTGAAACCTGAGAATATGCTACCTTGTGGATGTAATAAAATCAAGGATCTTGAGATGGGAGAATTATCTTGTATGATCTAGGTAGGCTGAGGTGATAACAAAGGTCCTTTTGTAGGGATGTTTCCTTTTACAAGAGAAGCAGGATATCAGGGAAGAGAGGGAAGATGCTATGCTACCTGCTTTGAAGATGTAGGAAGGGGCCGTGAGCCAAGGAGTGTAGGTGGCTTCTAGAAGCTGAAAACGGCAAGAAACACATTTCCCCTCAGAGCCTCCAGAAGGAACACAGTCTTTCATACTAATTTTAGACCTCTGACTTCTAGAACTGTAAAATACATTTGTGTGTCCTTAAGCCACTATGTTTGCAGTAATTTGTTACAGCAGCAATAGGAAATTGATACACCATCTTTTTTATATTTTTAAACTGTGGCTTGAAAGCTTTTTATGTACTGATCACCCATGCCTCTAATTTGAGTATCAAAAATGTTAGCCTCTTCTTCATGTCTCCTACTAAAGTGATTTTTTTTAACTCCAGAATTTTTTTTCTGTGTATTCTTGAGTCTCTGAGTGTGCTCATGGTTGTTTATTTATGTTGTTGTATGCCTTTTTTACTGAGTATCCAGTCTTGCCTAATATTCCTCTTTCTGGTTGCTTGGCCCTATGGAATGTGGTACTATTGTTCTTTGCCAGTCCACTGGGAATCTTGCAGGGTATGGGAAGTACAGCTGTCTCTCTCCCTGGTCCAGCTGTTTGGAAGCAGGAAAGTTGTTCTAGCCAAGACACCTGGAGGAAGCCTCTCTACTTTCTGGTCTCCTTATACTCTCTCAGACTCCAAGGCAAGAAGGACCCAGTCCACCATTGCAGCTTCTCCTTGGTCTCTTTGGAGCCAGAGAGATTCTTCACATGCTCATCCAGGGTTGTGTCAAACTTTCCACCAGGCATTCAGCAACAACTTTGGTTATGATCGTCTCCCTGGGGCTTGCTGATGCTGGTTTCCAGATATAACTCAGTCTCCAGGGGTTAGCTCCATACCACTTCTTCCACCTAGAATATCTGCTGAGCACAAGACTTCCCTTGGATTTGGTTTTCTCTTGGCACCAGCAGCTATTTGACTCTAGTGGGCCAGAATGATTGGAATTAGTATAGGAGACGAAGAATGCTACATTATCTTCCTGGAACCCTGGGGTCTAGTATTATTTTTTTATCCTTTTGAATAATTATAATTTATGTGTCCCACTTTTTCCCATTAAGTTTAATTTATATAAGCACAATTATAATTTTTCAGTGGTGTCATCTTCATTCAAAAATTAATCTTTACTCTGAGATCTCTCTTCACTTGGCTCCTCGGAGAAGGTTAATACATTTTCAGATATTTTGGAGATCTGGGAATTTCATTTAAGTGACGTTCCACATAATCAATGTCTTGAATCATCCTTTTTGACTGTTTATAAGAGAGATTGCTTCAGATATAACTCCTTCGTTCTGGCCTTGATTTATCCAGAGGAGAAAAAATGTCTCTGATTGTTCATTTTCTCTACCTTTAAATATAATGCTCATTTCAGATTGTAAGTTTGCAAAATTGTTTTTACTTGTTGCCAATTATTTTTTAAAACCTGATACATGGTAATGCCTATTTTTAATCTTAGTTGCTATTTTATATATGTTTAGAGCTTTATTCTATTTTACCTTTTTATCAGTGATCCTAACATCTGTTCATTCTGTGTTCTTCGAAATGTTGTTATTTGTAGGCTAGATTACTATGATTTACCCTCCTTGATTGATAATCTTTTGCAAATTTTTAATATTTGTATTTATTCCTTCAGTGACCAGAATATGATTGTCACTTTTGTTTTCTATTTGCTGATTCAGTGTTTTGTCACAAGGCCTGCGTTTTTATGGTTTCAAGTGAAATGAACATGTTTGAAGGGCCTACTATGTGCTAGGAATAGGTATATAATAGATTTTTTTTTTTCATGGTAGGACTTTAGCCTATTGTGTCATTCAACTCGAGAGCACCATCTACTTTATATTTCTCAGGGTTGTACAATGGGATGTTTCTGACCAGCCTGGAATGTACCATTAACCTCATTTTACATATGAAGAAGTTTATACTCTAGAGGTTGACGGACTTTCTCATGATCATATAGTGAATAAATAACCAAGTCAGTTTTAATTCAAGCATTTCAGACTTCGACTTCCACACTCTTTCCAGGCCATCATCTAACAGCTTCCCATAATAACCAGCTCTTGGCTGCTTTCAACAACAATTTTATTGGGTCTATTGTGGATTTCATTTTGTTTTTATTTTATCCTGAACTGTTCTTGTTTAATAGCCTGTCCCATTTTATCTTTTTGAGAATAGATTTTATACCTTTTCTAAAATTTTCTTGCAGCAGACCTATATCTGGGTTGTGCTTATCTCTGAGTTCCTGCACTTATTTTCGGCTTTAGTATAGACAAAACACTGCAGTGAAAAACAAGTTTTTTGATGATCCAGATTATTTTTTTCTGTTTACTCATACTACCTTGAATTTAACTGATGGAGCTTTGTGTTTCTGTTGAAAATGGTCTTTGTGTGAGCTATTTCACAGTCATACACATTTTTTAAAGGCAAGAATTGAGATGTAGCTATCTCTATCTCTAGTTTTTGCGTGTTTATTTATTTTGAGAAATCCACATCTGCATAACATGACAATTCCCCAATCTTATATTAATATTTCAATATTTTGAAAAGGATGGTTGCCCCTTGAAGAAACAATATTCTTTTTGATGTGTATCCCTGAAATTTCCCAACCCCATGTAAGGTTGGGCTACTTTCCTACAGGACAATCAGCGTCCTGTGACTTCCAACAATTTCTCCTAATATTATTATTTATTATTATCATTTTTTGAATTCTGTATTTTAAAAAATACCCTTTCAATAATGAAGGTTGACTTATTTTGGAAACTAGATTATTCTCAGTAGATGTTCTCAAGTTACCATACATAAAAACCTGCTCTGTACCTGCAAAATGTCCACTTACTTGACTTTTCTTCAAAATGGATATGGGTTTATTTTATTAAATTTCCTGCTTGTCTGATAATACCAGAGGAATATTCTATTTGTTCATCTAAACAACTTTGTTCTTAAGTGTTTGGCTTGGAGCAAAGAAACTAAATTAATCAGGGTTGCATGTTCCTGTCCAGTGACTTACATAAAATGAAATTGATGGCCTGGTCTTAAGTTATACAGGTGGTTCTTGCTATTAAAATAAATTCCACATATAAAAATTTACTTTAGCCAGACGTATAAGGAAGGGAAACATTTGTCTATTGTTTCCAAACCCAGTTTGGTTTTTAAGGTGTCTTTAGTCCAACCTTACTTCTGTTGTTAAACTGTTCTGCTAAAAATAGTTCTGAATAGTTCAAAGCCACATCTTTGCTGTTCTCATTTATAATCTGTTGAATTTATATCATTGAGGAATAAATGGATTAAATTTTAGGGGTGAGTACTTTTCAACAAAGTAATTCAAGTGTGATTAAGCCCTTTCTAATTATATTTGTGACTTCAAACAACATTTCAATGTTTCATTTAAATAAGTTTTTAACCAAGATCAAATTTTGGTGTTTAGATTCCTCTTTCTTTCCTTCCAGGAACAATGAAATACAGGCTTACTAAATCCACTAAGCTACATTATCTGCTAAACACCTGAATCAGGTCACCTAAAAATGTCAACTAGATGACCAGGCATGACAGGGATCTTGAATAGATCTATTAAAAGATGTGGTGAGTAGTAAAGGCAAAATAGCAAAAAAGGTATGAAGAGCTGAGAGATAGAGAGTGACAAACCTCAGAATGGCAGGTTTTTGTTTTTTTTTTTTTTTTTTTGAGATGGAGTCTCATGCTGTCACCCAGGCTGGAGTCCAGTGGTGCAATCTCCGCTCACTGCAATCTCTGCCTCCTGGGTTCAAGTAATCCTCTTATCTCAGCCTCCGAGTACCTGGGACTACAGGCATAAACCACTATGCCCAGCTAATTTTTGTATTTTTAGTAGAGATGGGGTTTCACCATGTTGGCCAGGCTGGTCTCAAACTCCTGACCTCAGATGATCCACCTACATTTGCTCCCAAAGCGCTGGGATTACAGGCATGAGCCATCGCTCCTGGCCAGAATGGGAGTTAAGTGATTGATAATGTGTTCATTATAATAATGATGTCTGTAAGAGGCTGCACCTATCTCAACCTCAGCTGACCTTACCTTGTGAATCACTGCACTGGGCCCAAGCAAATGGGTCTCATAGAAATGAATGTGCACATCAAAGACATCAAGTATCAATAAGTTAGGAAAACTCTGGTACTTACATATATAGGTAGAGGCAGCTTAGATAGAATGGAAAGAGTATACAAAATTGAGGAATTCCTAAATGTGGAATTAATGGGGAAGAAGATTTCTTATAGGAAATTTTAGTTTATCATTTATAAGAAGCTATCAACCACCTTCCTTACAGCAGTGGGTTTCCTTATGCAAAACTACACTTTGTGCAGCTTTAATAAATCATGCCCCTCAACAGCGCTGGCTACAGTTCATCACTCTTTGGGGATAAACAGAGAAAAAAGAATGGAAATTTGTGAATAGGAAATGGAAATAAAGCAAATGGTTAGAAGAAAAAATATTCCCTTAACAAAATATTGGCAAGATGAAGGAAGCTGAAGGTCCTAGAACTTAGATATAAAAATACTGCTAGGATGCTTTCATGGAGACAGCTTAAGCTACATAACCTTGGGGTTTAGAGAAGACCCTAAAGAAATAACTCTTAAATTATCCTGAATATCTAAAATGTTACCCCAATAATCTCACTATTTGTTCATTCTCCCAGTGGTACCTATATTTGACCATTGGGACAGGCACTCCTCACCCCTAAAGATGTCAGTAAATGAATAAAAAGTCATGCAGGTAGCAAAATTCCCGTAGGCCCTTTCAAACCATGACCACTTTTGCTTTTAAATTTCCCTTCCCAGTTCCTGCTCTCATTAGGTTTTGGTCAACCACTCTCAGTTTTGGCAACATCCTTATTCCTTTACACGAGAACTTCAGCCAGAAACCTCCCTCTTCCTGGTCTTTATCTTGGCTGCTAAATTTGTGTAGAGGAAAAGCAAGTTCACAACTAAGACATCAAATCAGAAAGAAATTACAAGTTTGTATGTAGAACCAAATACAGAAGAATATCTCTCAGTATGCATTTTATTTTAAATTAAAAGTCCTACCTGTCTTAGATACAAAATGTAAAAAGAAAAAAAAAAGTTTGGGAGACATGAGTTGTATAGTTCTCTGTCTCCCAGATGGCCAGAGCCACATATAAAACTCTCAGGACCATGAGATGATACTTTTGGAGGAAACCATTGCTCTCATCCTTCCAAATCTCCATGATCAGTTCTGGTCTATAACACACTAAAAACAAAATCTTTGCTTCTTTTGGGGGGGGGAACCCTAATTTTTTCTGCTTAGAGTTCCCTGGCAAAATTTCTCTTGAATGACTCCCCTTAGCTGGGTTCTTTCTGGGCGTGTTTCTTCACAGGCTCTTATGTAAAATTGATGATAGAGGATCTCAATTTTGCCTAGAGTGAAAGACTTGACATTCATTATAGAATTAAAAGCCCTACATGATTATGCTCCTGCCTGTGTCTCCCACCTCATCACTTACCTTGCTTGGGTCACATTAGCCAACTTTCCTTTCCTCAAAAATGTCACTTTTCCGCATGGATCTTGTACTTGCTGTCCCTTTGCTTGGAATGCTGACTCCAGCTCTTCACATGACTACATCCTTCCCATCATGTTGTCACCTCTTCAAAGAAGCCTTTCCTTACCACCCTAATGAAAGCAGCATTTCCTCACCCAGCAGCAAGTTGTTATCTGTAACCACTATCTTAATTTATAGTCTTCATAGCAGTTATCAAAATTACTAGGCTTATTGATTATTTTCTGTCTCTGCCCACTAAATTGTAAGCTTAATGAGAGCAGGGCTCTAATCTATCTTGTTTATGGCTGTATCCCCAGCACATAGCACAATGCCCAACACATATTAAGTGTTCAGAAAATATTTTTGCATGAATAAATAAATAAGTGAACAAATGAGGACAGTTGCAACCTTTCTGTCCCACCTCATACAAGGTGAGGTCTTATATGCTGGAGAACTCAGACGATTCTGAGGGCCTGGAGATACAGCCCAGAAAGAGCATCAACACGACCCTTTAGTGAAGATAAACACTTAGATGCTGTGTCTCCGCACTGCTGCCTCACAAATGGTAAATACACAGAGAAGTGGGCTGCTGGCACTCCATCCATCAAAAGGTGCCTGCATCTGTCTGGGTACTTGTAGGAACCTGATGAAAATGGCTTAATAAAGGGAATTCTTCACAAAGGAGGGGGCCATATGTAAGAGGAGCAACAGGAGTGGTAGAACCTCAGGGATTGAGAACCATACCAGTCATTACCACCCCAGGCATGAAGGCACAAAGAAGTGGTCATTGAAACCTGACAGCACCTGAGACCTTCAGTAGAGAGAAGTAGCTGACCTCCAGGGACATGGCAAGGGGGGCGTGAAGGTGGTGGAGGAGAATACCTTACCCTTCTTTCCTTGACTCCTGATCTCAGGACGACAGGGGAGCCTGTTGAGGTATCAGACAGGATGAAGTGCATCTGGAGGAGCTAATGAAAGATCCAGCAGAGCACCCCTCACTCAGAGTGTCAGTGAAAGTCAGGAACTCTGATATGCTCACAGGATATCTGGCTTCCTTATTAGGCACATAATTTTTCTGGCAAAATCTAGGGAAACACAGTATACTGACCAAAAGCCTGGGCATTGAAGCTGGACAACTGTTGAGTGTTGGTTCCTTTACAAACTAGTTGTGTAACTGAATGTATCAATTTCCTCACAGGTAAAATGGGATCAGAGAGATTTGTTGTGAGGATTAAACACCTTGAGTAACTTAATATGTATGCATGCTTAGAAGAGTGCCTGACAAATAGTAAGTCTTTAATAAATGTTCATTTGTTTTGTTGTTGTTGTTGTTGTTGTTGTTGTTTTTATTTTTAGAGACAACATCTTGCTCTGTCACCCAGGCTAGACAGTGCAGTGGCACAATCATAGCTCACTGCAGCCTCTAACTCCTGGACTCAAGCAATCCTCCAGCTCAGCCCCCAGAGTAGCTGGGATTACAAGTGTGTACCACCAGGCCTGTCAGTTTTCCTATAGGCTTCTTGACTTCAATGTCTTGACATAGTCTAGTCCCTAAGCTCTCAGAACTAGCATCAAGATATATAGTAAGGCTGGGCACGGTAATCCCAGCAATTTGGGAGGCTGAGGCAGGCAGATCACCTGAGGTCGGGAGTTCAAGACCAGCCTGAATAACATGGAGAAGCCCTGTCTTCACTAAGAAATTGTTTGGCTGAGTTGGTAGCTTAGTTATAGGACTTTAAACTGAACATTTGTCAGATCCTTCAGTTTGGGGTCCTGATTTGGGATTTCCTCTTTATTAATGCCTGTCTTACACTGTACAACATTACATTTGATAAAAACAGTGATTGACTCTCTTGGAATGTTTTTTTTTTTTTTTACAAACCTCCTATGAACACTGAATCCAGGACTACCTTTGGTTATCTAAATTGGATTCCATTTTTCCAGAATTGAAATTCATTTCTTGTAACTTCCTAATGTCCTGTAGATTTTCCTCGAGGCTTAGCAGAATGAGCATTTTTCAAAGGACAAATCCAAGGAAGCCCAGTGCCTTGAGGAGAGGATGGTCAGGCTCTTCCAAGGTCCTGATGGGGACACTGATGTTATCTAAATTAATTAGCACTCCCATGAATTAATGTCCAAGGTCTCCTTTTTCATTAACAACTAGAAGCTAGCAGAGTTCTCTAGGATACTTTGTAGCATTCTTTCATATTCCCCAAAGAGAGACGAAAGCTGTCTTTTCTTGGCCTCTTCTACTCTAGACATTTGCTAATGACTAATGACTTCTCATCAGGTTGAGCACTAAATCCACTAAATTTGCAGCAGCCTAGCATACATTGTAGAATGCCATTCCAGTGATCAATGATGCACACATACATAGATTGTATCCATTTTTCTCAATTGTAAAATAAAAGCACTTGAGCGTATCATTTTAAAAAAACACTATAGTTTCTGATATGTGTGTATATATCTACACTGCGCAGCCAGCCCCAAATACCACTTCGCTTAACATCACATTGGAAGAAGGTTAAAATTTAACAACGGATGGTAAGTTGAATGTCAGCTGTACAGACCTATTGTTAATTTGTGTGAAGGGTCTGTTTTGCCTTTTTAGTTAATAAAAATATTTAGTTAAAACAAATATTTCTTGAATTCAGTTCCAATGTCAGACCGCTGATGTTGAATTCAATTCCAAAATCAGTTCAAGAGACTGATGTTGAAAGTGAATTCAAGAAAATCCTATTATTGCTGTCTTCTAATTTAGGGGTTTTCAGGAATCTATTTGGGTACTGGGATTACTGTACTTTCACTGGATATACACAAGAAACCATCCTTCATAATTGATGGCTATAGCCTATAAGGACAATAGCCACAGAAGCCAAGAATCACGTGTTCATCAAGCTGTGGGATCACCTGAGATAAGCATGAGAGGTGGGATGGAGCAAAGAGGATTAAAAATTCTTGAAGTCAGAGTAAGACAAAAACAAAGATAATGATCCAAAAATATCATTAATTATCAATATTTTAAACCCCATGAGTTACAAAAAAATAGAACCAAATGTTCATTATCTAGCCAAGGTATTGAAACATAATTTAATGTGAATAGAACAGGAAATCTTGAGAAACCAAAAATGTCAAATATAAATGAAACTTTGGTATAAATGTGCTCAGTATTTATATCTTAAGAACTGACCATATACATGGTATTTTTAAATGACACATGAATACATTTCTTACCCCAAAATACGAGACCATAGTTCAATAAATACAAAAGTGTACATGTTACTCTACTTGCAATTTGTATACAATACATATTTTTAAATGTCAGCCTACAATTTGACTCAACTTTCTAAAATTCACATTTAATTCTCTATATACAGTGTAAAAATACTTTTTAAAAATATAAAATTTATTTTTATTATATAGGACAGATTTATTACTTTGGATTTAAAATGTAAGATCACAGTTCCTTTATAAAAATACCAGGTTCCAATTTTACAAGTTATTCTATTGTCTGGAAGTAAGTAAAAATTTCTCTTTAATGAGATGTTTGATACCCAAGTTTTAAAATTCTTCTTAAGGCTTCAAGAAGCTACCCTTCTACAATACAAAACAATATATTATTTTGATAGATTCTGAGAAAATAAGAAGATAGAGATTAAAAGCTGAATAGTTTCTTTTCCCAGGTCTTAACGTTTGCCAAGCAACTGCTCTCTGATATTGACAACGATTTTGAGAAAACTACATCTTCCTTTATATTTCTTTTCATCATAGAGATCCTATACACTTTTCTGAGTTGTTAGAAATTCTTTTTTGATCAGGGGCTTATTTTCTATTCTGCTATTAGCAGGAATAACAGACATCTACTATTCTCTAGAATAATTAGAGTCATTTGCTAGCTGGTAGTTTCAGCTGGGCTTTAGAGTAGTGACTTAGGACACATTTTATTGTTATCTAATTAGTTGGCTGCAAATTAAAGCATGGATTTGGGTAGTCTTGCTTGGACTTCCTATACTTTTCCTGTAATGTGAGAATTCATTAATTTTCCTGTTTGAACATAGGGTCTGGTCATTTCCAGCAGGGGCAATTATTTTTATATGTTCAGTTTGCTAGAAAAATGCAATGCAAGCATGGGTCCATTTAATGCATCTTTTTATTCTAATTGTTGAACTGGGGTGCACTGAAAGTGGTGAACCTGTATACAGTTAGTCAGAAATAGTCTAAACCTAGAATGTGTTACTAGAGAAGAGGAAATTCAAGTTGACATTTATATCATCTTTTTAGGATTTCGGTATTTAAAAATATAAGGTAGTAGTTAGTGTCTTCTTCACATTATGACCTCCTAATGCCTACTTCCAAAAGAAAAGGAAAGGAAAGAAGGAGAAAGAGGAGGAGGAGGAGGACAATGAAGAGAAGGAGAAGAAGAAGAAAAAGCACTGCCTCCTATTTGGGATGAGAATCAGCACAGAAAAGTAGGAGTAAGTGATTTTGGGTTAAGAAAACCCACCTGCTGAGGGCAACATTTCCCAAAGCGTGTCTGCCTTTTGGGTTCATCGGTGTTCAGAGAAAAAAAGATTTCATGTCAATTTAATGACCTTGGAATCCAGGCAATTTGCTTGACTTCTCTAAGCCTCAATTTCCTAATCTGAGCGATGGAGATAGTTTTCACCTGTGGCATTAGATTGTTCTGGGGATCAGATGAGACAAGGGGCTGAGCATGAGCCCCACACAGCATCAGCTTGAAAAATGGTAGAATTTTCAGGATCCTTGATATCCAGTGTGCACTATGAACTTTCAGTTGACTGATGTATAATTTGCAGTATGTCTCTACTGCATCTGACAATAGCATTTCCTTTTTTTTTAAATTTGAGATGGAGTTTCGCTCTGTCACCTAGGCTGGAGTGCAGTGGCGCGATCTGGGCTCACTGCAGGCTCTGCCTCCTGGGTTTATGCCATTCTCCTGCCTCGGCCTCCCTGGTAGCTGGGACTACAGGCGCTTGCCACCACACCTGGCTAATTTTTTGTATTTTTTAGTAGAAATGGGGATTCACCGTGTTAGCCAGGATGGTCTCCACCTCCTGACCTCGTGATTCGCCTGCCTCGACCTCCCAAAGTGTTGGGATTACAGTCATGAGCCACTGTGCCCGGCCAACAATTGCATATCTTAATTTATATCATGCATTTGTGGGATTATTATCTTGTGTAAAAGTCTTTAGAAGATGCTTCTCAAATAAGTGTTTTATATACAACATATTCCAATAAAAGAAAGTAATTTACAGATAAAACAAATACATTTAAAAATAAGTTATAAAACATTTAACAATAATGTCAATTTACCTTAAACCTATTCCCAGTTATTTTAAACACTTACAGTACAACCACTAAAGTAACATATTAGTATTTATTTGCCAAGTCATCAGACAACATTCTCTCTTGCTTTGATTCCTTCTTGCTTCTCATAGCCCTAATCTCTATCAAATACTAACTCTCATTCTTAGCCACTGACAAAATTGAGTATGGACTTCCTTTTCAAAAAGGTCTACAAATCTAGATTTTTTTGACATTATCTCCAAGGTTGTACAAATAGTCAATGTGATTTTGTGTTTGTGTTTATGAAAAGCATTAATTTATCATATAACGTTAAACTATGTTCTGTTTTGATATTTGTCCATGTTGTAATATACTAGCAAATGGGGAGGGGGCGTGGAAGTGCTCAGCTCTGTCTCCCTCTGAGTGGCTCTGTGCCTTCAATCAATTGTGCTAGTATGCTAGCCCTGATGAGATTTCACCATGTTGCCTTCTAAACCTAACCCTCCTCCTTAGAGCCAATGGTGACTCCATCATCCTCTTATTCACTTTTCCTCTGGGATTAAACAGAGACCAAATGCTGTTGAGTCTGTCTTCCTATCTGCCTTTCCGTCTGCATTGCTACAGTCACTGGGCTAATCTACAGCCTTTTCCACCCCTCACCTAGCAATAACTCTCTATCTGCTTTCTTTGTCTCTAATCTCTTTCTACTATTGCCCTGTGTAGTGCTGATAGATTAAGATCTGAAAACATGGCCCTAAGCTTGCTGCTTGCCCTGCTTAAAAGCTACCTGTGGCTCCTCACTCACTACAAAACAAAACTCTTACAAAGTCAATGGAAGTCCCAGTACTTCATCATGAATATCGTTTCTCCCATATCTCCACAGATTGAAAAAAATTCATCCCCCATTATCCTGCTAAAAGCCATTTCCTCTATAAAAACCACTTTGGTTCTCTTTTCTTCTGCCACAAATACTTTATCTTTAGCTGGAAACACACACACACCCACACACATACTATATATATATATATATATATATATATATATATATATATATATAAATATGTATGTATGTATTTACCTGGCACATGCTGGTTTATTCTTACCTTTATGTATTTACCTGGTGTGTGTGTATACATATGTGTGTATATGTATTTACTAGATGAAAAATACATATATAGATATATATTTATACATATTCACACAATACATATACTATATATGGTGTATATATAGATAATATATATAAGATACATATATAAGATACATATATATGATGCATGTATATAAATATATATCTTCTTAACTATAAGCATCTTAAAGGCAAGCTCTTATCTAAATCACTTTTGGTCTCCTCCACAGTAAGGTAAAATCTATTCTCAAGTAATTATATAAGGGAGAATGGACAGGCAAGGGAGTAAGCAAACTGGAGTGCTGTATTACCTGATTAAAGGAACTAACATAAAAATATTTAATATGACTTTTCTAGTGTTGTCAGTGCCAGGCCTCTGAGCCCAAGCTAAGCCATCATATCCCCTGTGACCTGCACGTATACATCCAGATGGCCCGAAGCAAGTGAAGAATCACAAAAGAAATGAAACTGGCCTGTTCCTGCCTTAACTGATGACATTACCTTGTGAAATTCCTTCTCCTGGCTCATCCTGGCTCAAAAGCTCCCCCACTGAGCACCTTGTGTCCCCAACCCCTGCACACCAGAGAACAACCCCCTTTGACTGTAATTTTCCACTATCTACCCAAATCCTATAAAACAGCCCCACCCCTATCTCCCTTCGCTGACTCCCTTTGTGGACTCAGCCCACCTGCACCCAGGTGAAATAAACAGCCTTGTTGCGCACACAAAGCCTGTTTGGTGGTCTCTTCACACGGACACGAGTGAAACCAATCAAAGCACCAAAGAGAAAATGTTAGAAACTAGACCAAAAGGGTTTTATTTTAGCTATATGAGGAAAGGAAGATTATTGAGTCTACGTGGTAACTGGCTAGATCTGCTTTAATTATGAATTTTGAATCACCTTCTATGCCGGTCCAACCTCTGATTGATGAACTAAATGGCACAAAATTTATTTGCCTAAATTGAACGTGGCTTAATGAGATTTCTTTATATAAAAAGATATTACTGGCCTCCCTCTTCCAAGAATTTAAAGAAAATCTTGAAGTCATATGATCAGTAGCCATAGTCTGTTTTTTTGTTTGTTAAAAAAATTGCCTGGTTTCTTTTTTATATTCCTTCATTTATAATCTATTGAGCACCTACTATGTAACAGCTACTCTTTAAAGAAGCACACATCATCCTTTTTATCAAAATTATGACTGAACCACTGCATTCGAGCTGATGTCTGCTATTTACTGACAAACTAAAAACAGTCACATCACTTCAAAGCTGGTTTCTTTTCCTGCGTCTCCATGGGTGACACAAGTAAGCCTGCATCTTTCCTCTTTTTCCATCTTAACTTCTTTTCATGGTCTGCTGTGTTTTCTCTGTATCCCTTGCTGCTTTTTGTTCCAGGCCCTTCTTTCTTAAGATAAAGTTTCTGAATCACCGCTATCAGCAGGGAGTCAGGCAGCACGCAGAATAGTCAGAGGCAGATCGTTGGAAACTCATGGCTTTTTAATTTAAAGGTTGACTAGGTTACCCTGTAGCAAAGAGGTGTGTTTTTTTCATTTGTTTGTTTGTTTCATGATTTTTCTTTTCATAGGTTCACAAAAAGGAGGTGAGCCAGATGGTTCCTGGAAAGAAAAGAACAAGGAAATTCCAGCAATCACAAGCTCTGGGCAGAGATAACCACAACACCTCACCTTGAGAAAGCAGGTCTGAGGAGTGAGGTTTTTCTTTTCTTGGATGATTTGGCAAGCCTCTCCCTGCAGAGCTTGTACTGCAGCCACAAATGTTTGCAGATAGGCCTCCAGCCCTCAGTGAGCAAGTGAGAACCTGGGTCATCACCCTTCCCATTTCTGCTCCACTTTCTGCTTCCCTGGAGTTCAGGCTGGGCTCACATTCTCCTTCGGCAAGGACTCAATTAGTCCTCTTCCTTCTAAATGTGGTGCCTTGTATGCAAGGCTGAAAAAGGATAGCTCTCTGTAGGGACTGATGGGGCATTGCCCTCGAGCCTGCCCTAGGCTCAGGATCTAGAGACTGTATGGTGAAATGTGTGTGGGAATAAAGGGAAGAAGGAAGTCATTGAAGAGAGGAAATAAAGTGGTGGTGGGTGGGGAGCGGGGCTTTGGGAGGCAGGTATGGGTGACAAAACCTACTGCATTAATTAACATATTACTTGTTGCTACAACAGATAAATCCAAACATTTCAGTTGCTTAATCCTAAGAAAACTTAGTTCTTGCTCACAGGAAGTCCAAAACAAGTATTTCTGATTGGCAAGCAGCTGTCTTCCTAAGCTATAATTCAGGAACCTAGATTCCTTGAATCGTGTGTTCTATCATCTTTAATGTGTGGCTTCTAAGTTCCTCTCCAACAAGCTAGAGGAAGGGCAAAAACCTGGACAGTCAAGTGTAAGGGCTTTTATGGTTCTGTACTAGAAGTGTCACACATCACATTTTCTTATGTTCGCTAGGACCCAGTCACATGGCATGCACAATGGACAGAGAGGCTGGGAAATGTAGTGTAGTTGAGTGCCCAAGAGAAAAAAAGGGGTTGGTGAGCAACTAGCTAATTTAACATTGCCTATTTAATTTTGCACAAGGAAAACCCTGAAGATAGCTCTAAAGTACAGATCTACAAGTTGGAGTTGTCATATTCCTGTAATTAAAGGAATTCTCAAAAGTTGAATACAATATGGAGAATCCTTGGATTGTATAGTTGCCATTGATGTCTTTTGATTATCTTAGTGTTTTATGCCAAGGTATTTTGGCTTCAACTACTGGTCATCAAAATGTTGCTGAATCAAAGACCTGAACTTATTATATTGAAATTTGTTTGTGTTGTTTGCTAAGAGGACCAAACATCCTCTTTAATTATGAGCAACAATGGACTTTTAAATATTTCCCCTTCAAGACAACCTATCACCACATATCTTTACAAAATTTTGACTTTATTATGTTGCCCTGCTTCCAGCAAGATATACATGTTACCAGTGTATATCTTTTTAAAGTTACTTTAAAGATAAAATGGTAAAAAGTTCTGATGCTGTACCCGAGAACTTAAAGTATGATAAAAAAAAGTTCTGATGCCCTAGAAAAATTAATTCATCATCAGATTTAAAGATGTGCCTCATTATGTGCCAAGAATTGTGTTAATAGAGAGATGTTTCTCTGTCATTCAGTAAGTTTGCTTAGTCCAGGACAGAACTCAGGAGTCTATTTCTAACTAGACATTTTTACTGAATGTAGAATTTTGGGTTGAAATGTCTTTTCTTTCAGCACTTGAAAAATGTGTCACTTCCGAATGGTCTTCATGGTTACTGATGAGAAATCTGTCATTTATTCAATTTCTTTTTTTTTCTCCTGTAAGGTGTTATTATTCTCTGGCTGCTTTCAGGATGTTTTTCTTCATCTTTAGTTTTCAGAAGTTTAATTTTGATGTGTCTTGGTATGGATTTCTTTGGACTTATTCTTCTAGCGTTTTCTCAACTTGAATCTGTAGGTTAATGTCCCTTGCCAACTTTAAGAGGGTTTCAGCCATTATTTGTTTGAGTAGTTTTTTTAGTCCCCTCTTTCTTTACTTCTTCGAGGACTCTGATGACACAAATGTTAGATAAATTTAAAGATAAATTTTATCTTTAAATCTTTTATTTTTGCAATAGTCACACAGTTCTCTGAGGATCAGTTTACTTATTTATTTATTTATTTTTTGAGATGGAGTCTCGCTCTGTTTCCCAGACTGGAGTGCAGTGGTGCAATCTCGGCTCACTGCAAGCTCTGCCTCCTGGGTTCATGCCATTCTCCTGCCTCAGCCTCCCTGGGACCACAGGCGCCCACCACCATGCTCGGCTAATTTTTTGTATTTTTAGTAGAGACAGGGTTTCACCATGTTAGACAGGGTGGTCTTGATCTCCTGACCTCGTGATCTGCCCACCTCGGCCTCCCAAAGTGCTGGGATTACAGGCATGAGCCACTGCACCCGGCCCAGTTTACTTTTTTTTAATGTCTTCTCTTTGTTGTTCAGATTGACTGATTTTTATTGTTCTATCCTCTAGCTCATTGATTCTTTCCTCTCCCCTCCACTCGCTGTCGTGCTCATCCTCTGACCTTTTTATCTTGGTTATTATATCTTCCATTCCTAAAATTTCTGTTTGGTTATTCTTTATGTCTTCTAGATATCTTTCTATTTGTTGTTACAAGTGAGTTTTCATTGAAACTGGGACATTTTCATAGTAAGTTATGAGACTCTCAATCTCATTTGAGCTGGCTTTCTTTGATACTGCTATGGCAGAGGAAGTGGGTGGTGGGGGAGTGGGGGAGAATGGTGTCACCAAATGTGATCACAAGTCCAGGTATCCCATTCAGTCTCCACTGACACCTGAAGCAGGAGCTCCTCATTACTGTTGGACAAGGGTAAGAGTTCCAGCCTCCCACATAGTTCCCACTGATGCCATATTGGCATTGGCTGCACTATCAGTGGGCAATGCTGAAGTTCCTGACTCTCCTACAAGCCTCCTCTGCACCCCCCCTCCCAGCAAGGATACCTCCCAGAAGGGAGGGATGAACCCTCATTACTGCTGGGTGGCAGTGGAATCCAAGCTGCTAAGTGTTCTCCATGGATACCATGGAATGGGGGTTGTTACCAGATGATGAGGTTAAAAGTTCTAGCTCCCTAGTAGGCTTTCTCTATAAAACCTTAGTGGGGGTATTGAGAAGCCTTGTTAATAGCCTTTCAAGGGTAGAAGTCCAGGCTCCCATTTTGTTCTTGCTGAGTGAGTAGAGGAAGGGAGATAAAAATATATACATGTTTTTAACCTGTGGTGTTTGTCTGAAGTAGAACAATTATTGTCTGAAAGCTTTCTGTCTTCCTAGACTGGCTCTTTGAAACAGGCTTTTGTTTTTTTGTTTGTTTGTTGTTGTTGTTGTTGTTGTTTTGGTTTGCAATTTTTGGCATTTCTGAGTTACCAGCTTCTTCAGCACCGAGTCTAGGATATATGAGGCAAAGGGAAAATCCAGGGAACTTACCACTAAGTCATTTTTCAAATCAAGGCCCCTAACCTTTCTACCTTCTTCTCTCCGTCTTTTGCAGTCTTAAGTTTTAATATATATAACATACAGGGGTTTTAGTTGTACTTAGTAGGGGAATAGGAAAAAAAATGTGTTTACTGCATTTTCCCAGAAGTGCAAGTACAATTTTTATGCACCTTTTAAACACGATCAGATTTATGCTAAAAGGACCACTCTGGTTTTTCTTATGGAGAATTAACCATGAAGTGGATGGGGGTTGGGGGAGAGGAGTGGGGAGCAGTAGAAACAGGGAGACTAGGAAGAAGGTTATCATGGGCTTTTGGTCTAGGGATGATAGTGTCTCCTATTAGGATGCTCATGAAGAAGGTGGTCAGAAGTAGTCAGATTAAAGATATACTGTATTTCAAATGTAGAGCCAATATGGAAAAGCTGGTACAACCACACAGAGTGAGAGACTGTATGTCCAAGTTCCTGCAATTCCTGGGTTTACATGGAATACTTTGGAATATGTCTAACAAATTACATTTTTGACACATGTGGCAGGATGGGGTTTTCTTTCCTCTCCCTTCTTCATCCAATCTCTAGAAGAGTTTTAGTGTCATAGAAAATAGAGATGAAAACTTTGTTTACAAAATGATGTAATCGTTATGCATTGAAAAGCAGGTCAACATTAGCAAGAAGAATTTGACTTGTCTTGTAGATGCTTCTTCTCAAAATTTGGAGAGATTCAAGGGTCCCCTTTGATTGACAGGAGAGACAAAATCACGGTTCCATCAGCTGCATTTCCAGTCTGGGTCTGGAATATGATGAAGACTTGCTGTCTCTCTTTTAGGATGTAGAGCCAGGTTGTGGAGATGGGGAAGAGGACAAAGAGGCGGAAAAGAAGGGAGTAGAAAAAAAAATCAAAAGAAACACCAGTGATACATACCCTTTTGAGGTATGTTCTGGACAAGTGTCTGGAAGTGTAATAATATGAAAGGTTTTGCAACATTTTCTGAATTCCATGTAATATGTTATCTTCATATAGTAAGTGTCCCTGTTCACTCTTCTAATATTGTAAGCAAATTGAAGAGACATTCATCTGAAGTGGTCTTCTATAATTTGCAATCAAAGAGATTTAAACTACAACAGTGCTTTGAAGACCAAAAAGTGTAATCCAAAGAAGGAAATAGAATACAAATATAAAGATCAATACCTCCTAATGAGATACAATAATTGAATCACAAATTTGGCTCTAAACTTTCTGGTAACAGAAGTAAAAGGGTAAACATAATCTGTTATAGAGATCTTATTTACCACTAGGATATAGTATAACTGGTCCTCAAGAGAAATAAATATTACCATACAGTTTAACTCTGAAGAATATTTCTTACATATGTTCACAGAAGGTAGACCATTTTATTGGAAGTCAATTTGTCAAGTGGCCAGTGTATTCTTGAATATAGTCTTTTTTTTTGAGACAAAATTTTGCTCTTGTCACCCAGGCTGGAGTGCAGTGGCATGATCTCAGCTTATTGCAACCTCTGCAATCCGGGTTCAAGCGATGCTCCTGCCTCAGCCTTCTAAGTAGCTAGGATTACAGGTGCCCATCACCACACCTGGCTAATTTTTGTATTTTTAGTAGAGACAGGAGTTTCGTCATGTTGTCCAGGCTGGTCTCGAACTCCTGACCTTAGGTGATCCACCAGCCTTGGCTTCCCAAAATGCTGGGATTACAGGTGTGAGCCACTGTGCCCAGTCGAATATAGTCTTAAATGCATTTTTGACCATGAGGTAGTCTTAGGAATGAATGAAATAGTATATTCATAAGTGTTCTGCAACATTTTCTGAGAACATTTTTAAAGAACATTTAAAATGTTGATGTGTAACATTTAAACATTAATGTTTCTAAGAACATTTTTAAGAATATATTCCAAGAACATATTCTTTAAAAAAGTATTTGTAATAGACAAATAAAAATTGTATTTATGGTATACAACATGATGTTTTGAAACATGTGTACACTGTGGAATGGCTAAATGAAGTTAATTAACACATGTGTTAGAGTGGGCAGATACCCAGACATGGGCAGGAGAAAGGAGCCCCTGAGAAGGGAAAAGTCTGGGAAGGCTAACGCCTGAGGGACCACCCAGAATTCGCACACTAGTAGCTTCTCTAATTCTAGAGTGGGTGGGCTCTTAGTCAAATGTGAGTAGCAAGGAGAGAAGGTACCTACACAGAAAGGGATGCCTCTTAAGATGCCCCAGTAATCATTCCTCAGCAGTTAAAATGTTAGAATATTGCTAGCTACAGGCCGGGCACAGTGGCTCACACCTGTAATCCCAGCACTTTGGGAGGCTGAGGCGGGCAGATCACGAGGTCAAGAGATCGAGACCATCCTGGCTAACATGGTGAAACCCTGTCTCTACTAAAAATACAAAAACAGTTAGCGGGGTGTGGTGGTGGGCGCCTGTAGTCCCAGCTACTCTGGAGGCTGAGGCAGGAGAATTGCTTGAACCTGGGAGGCGGAGGTTGCAGTGATCCGAAATTGCGCCACTGCACTCCAGCCTGGTGAGGGAGCGAGACTCCA